TGGCTGCAGCAATTGGCTATTGCAGGATTGGCTGCAGGGGTCCCCATGGGCAGCAAGATTGGCTATGACACTGCTATGGCAGTCAGAGTAGCAACAGTAAGCTGCACATTAGAATAAAAGAGAGGCAACTGTGCCAGGGCTAGCAAGCCACCTAACTGGGAGGGAACAGGGCTTGAGAGGCATATAAAACCAGAGCGGGCAGTGTGGCTATGCAGGTGGCAGGGAGAGGAGCTCCTGGGCAGGATGGTGATCAGAGAGCCACGAGCCATGTGCTGGATCAGCCCAGGCAAGCACTAATGGGCCAGATAGACATCAGGACAGGGGGGTACCAAGTGCACCCATTGGTGTGCTTAGATGCCTCTACACTAATGCTAGGAGCATGGGGAACAAGCAGGAGGAACTTGCACTCCTGCTTGCAAGCAACAACTTTGACGTGGTTGGGCTAACTGAAACCTGGAGGGACCCTACTCACAATTGGGCAGTAGGCATTGAAGGTTACAGGTTATACAGATGGGCTAGAGTGGGGGAAAAAGGGAAGGGTATTGATCTCTATTCTAAGGAGCAATATACATCTTCTATAATCAAGATGGGATCCAAGATGGGATGGGGGCCAAACTGAGGTACTGTGGGTTAGGATACAAGGGGGTTGGGGGGAAAGGGAATTGGTAGTGGGGGTGTAGTATAGACCGCCACACCAAAAGGCCGAGCTAGACCTGGAATTCTCTGGGCAACTCTCAGAGGCCGTACAGTCAAGAGATACGGTTGTCATGGGTGACCTAAACTACCCTGACATCTGCTGGGAGGATCAGTCAGCCAGGACTAACTGCTCATGTAGGTTCTTAACCTGCATACAGGACCTCCACCTAACGCAGGAGGTATACGATCCCACTGGGGGAATGCCTTGCTGGACTTGGTGGTGGCTACAGGAGGCAACCTGATGGGGGATCTGCAAGTACAAGGTAACCTAGGGAATAGTGACCATCAATTGATTGAATTCACTATCC